CCACAACTAGGCTTGAGAATAAGGACTATGGGTTGTTTGTGTGCCTTTGCTTCCAGTGAAATAAATGCACATTATTTATAAACCTATTAGTGCTTCTTGGAGGCTTGCTGCTAACTTTCAGAGAAGCCATGCCTGTGCTGTTTATCCTAGAGTTTGTATTTTGATTTAGAAGGGACAGAAAGAAAGAAGGGTGAATTTTAGCTGCTATTGAAACAGAAAAAAGCAGTGGCTGTGCCCCTCTTGGAGGGGATTGGCCTTGGCCTTGACCAAATTGCCCACCCCCCAGTCTAAACAATAGTGTCAACAAATAAAATGGTGAAAAATGTCCCAAGACGCACAAAAGTAACATTTTCAGAATAACTAGGAAGAATTACAACATCTCAAGTGGAACATGGTGATAACACCTACAAAAGTATCAACGTTAGTCCTTGTTATAAAACTAATTATATGCCATCAAGTTGATTCCAATTTATAGTGATCCCTTCAAGGTTTTTCTTGGTATCGAGCACTCAGAAATGGTTTACCATTCCTTTCTTCTGGGGATGAACTGAGGCAGTGCAACTTGCCCAAGGCTACAAAGGCTGGCTCTTAGGAGGCACAACGTGGAATCAAGCTCATGACCTCTGGCTCTGTGGCCATGTACGCAATTTACTGAATGTTTGCACTCAATAATAATATGTTATGAGCCATGTTATTACTTTCGGTCTGTTACTGGTTGATTCCAAGTAAGCTTCTAAAGGCCAGTTTAACACAGACACATCAATTCCTTGTTTTTCTGTTCAGCTCCGTTCCTTTACACTGGGAGTGGGCAACCTCCAGAAGGCCAAGTCCTACGTTCAGAGGTTACACCTATTATTAAGTCTATTGAAACAGAAACCTTTCCCATTATTACACATCATTGCAGAACTTCCCTCTAATCTTATTATTATTTGCAGATTGCTGACAATCTAGCTGTTTCATGCAAGTTTTCAAAGACCAGATGCCATTGATTGGAATCTATCATTTAAAACAAAACAAAAAGGCAAAACACAAGCAGA